CTATTCTTATTGTCCTGACTGCTGAGTTGTAATTCTGATAACTCAAAGGTTTAAGAGCAGGAGTGAAACCTCCTACTTAGCACCCAGCTAATGTTTACACAATTAAGATGAGCAATATGTTAACCAAGACTAAATACCCCCTCTCTTAAATCAGGGAAGCATTATTGCCTTTTCTATGAAAAATAAAATAATAATAATAAAAAAACATAACAATGTGCTTCAATCCATAATTTACGTTAGATATTTTTACAGCAATTTTGGCTTGTTTTAATCAAACTATGCATTATGTTTAAGGCTTTAAGTTAAAAGCATAGCAGGTATGGCTCCAAACTCAGCTGCCAAAGTGGAGAGCAGGGGGTCTAGAAGTGTTGAAGTCATTGGTAGCTGCGGGCAATGAATTTCTCACTCTTAGAGAAAAAAACACTCTTGCTCCTGTAAGAGGCAGAACTTCTGAGTTCTTAGTTCCTGTTGAGTTCTAAGTTCATCAGGACCTTCCAGAGGCAATGTGTTTCCCATCTCTGTAGGATTAATCATCCTTCAGGTAAGAGCTGGATGAAAACACATGAACTGAATATTTTTCCAGATGAAGAGAGAAAACAGTGTATTAAAGTACCTGTAACATTAATATGAGCAACCATAAATAACACATTTTATACTTCCAGGTTTCATTGATTTAATAGTGAATTCACAAACTATCCTAATGTTTGACATTTTTTATTTCTGGGAAAAACAAAACAAAACAAATTCAACTTATCCTTTCCACTCCAGCATTCCATTGGGGCTTCACTATGTGTCTCTGGCTTTGGAGCTTTGACTTCAGCTGCAGCTTTGCCAGTCCCTCCTCTCAACAACCTTCTCCCTGCTTAGGGGGACACAGTGCTAAGCAGGGATAAGTCTTCCATTTTTTTGGACTTGCCCTTAATGTCTGAGCAGCTCATCAGATGTTTGGATCTTTGCTTCCCAGAGGCAGTCAATAGTCTGACTTTTAAAATAAAGATAATACAGGAAATGGGGCCCCCTAAAAATTGCAACATATTTCCGTGAAGTATCTTAGGTTTACTGCAGCCTGGTCTAGTGGTTGGTGACCTTGTACATAGCAGGGGTGTTGAAACTAGATGATCACTGTGGTCCTTTTCAACCCCAGCCATTCTGTGATACTGGAAATCATATGTTACTATTAACAAGGTTTTGGTAGTTAGGTTTTAATGTTGTATGAACAACATTTCTGTGAGCTTGAAGGTTCTTTAATGAACTTTCAGATAGAAGATACCAGGACCAACAGCTTTAAATCCTTAGTCATTTCAGACTCATGCATTAAATTGGATACGCTGAATACAATTTGATTTATTATCAGGAACTTTTAACATAAATCTTTAAGAAACAAATATATTTTTTATTTATTTGTTTAGGAACCATCTTATCTTTTATTTATTTATTTAGGAACATTTATTGTTAATTCTGGTAAAATAAGGAAGTGGATTTGATATGCTTTACCAAATGCTAGCCTGAGTCTTATTTTTCACATGACAGACTTGCTAATGCCTGCTAACTTTCCAAAGGAGGTGATGCTATATTCACATATGATATATTAAGTTCAAAAGACCTATTTTTTTCAGAAAACTGTAGTGATTCTGACTGGTATCTAGCAAATTTTTCCCTTTTACAGAACTGTCAAGCTAATTTTGTATACTTGCTTGTGTTATTTTGGTTCTAAATATTCTTTATTCATATCTTATAAGGAAGAAAAAAGCAATAGTCAATTATTTGTTACCAATAACAGAAGGTTTAGTAAAGGTTATTGTTTTGTGATTTTTGATATCAGATTCCTTTTTTAAAAATTTCTCTGATTTGAGATATGAAGCGTGCCATTTTTTTTTTGCTAAAGTGTTTCAATGGATCTTACTATACTTTGTCTTTTAAATGGAAATTATAAATTCCTTGCTCCTGCTAAGGGAAGTGTTTTTTTCCTACATATTCCACATAGTTTTGAATCTGTGGCTGCTCAGATGAAGTGGAAGAGTTTACATACTCTTTTCAAAATGAACTGGGAGCCCAGTCACAGCTATAACTTGATTCTGAAGCTCTGATCTGCAGAAAACCCAGCATGTTAGAAGTGTCAACAGAGCTGCTGCTCTCATGACTTTCCCATCATGGAACCTCGTAGTTAATTCAAACACTTCAATATTTTACCAGTCTTGTGAGACTCCTGTTGCAGAGTATCTTCTTCCAAGGTTGCAACCAGCAAATTGGAAAATATCCTCCTGGACATCTTTACAGAAAGTTCTGCTACACCAACTCTCAAAACACTGGGGACACTATCTTTTTAGACAGATAAGAGGGGAAAAAAAAAGATGCTTAGTTCCTGAAGAATACGATCTTAAGCGCTGCTCTTTCCCTTTCCCTTCTCCTTAATAAATGCATACAAATCCTCAAAATAATGATCTTTTTGAAGAAAAACTTGCTTTATGTTTCTTTAAAAATTATGCACTGCTGAATTAAATGTTGTCTATCAATCAGTTTCCAAGAGGGTTATGTGCTTTTAAAAAGTCAACTAGATATCTTGTTCTATGCAAAAGTTAGAATAGGCGTTCTAGACCCAATTTTTAATCTCTGGTACCACAGACTATCATGTAACTATGAATAGTATTGTATATGCAATAAATAATGGCAAGAGTAGACTGTGGGGATCAAATAGGTCTGTCACTGCATTTTTACCAGACGATTTAACACATAAAACAGTTGCCTGTGTATTTCCTTCCAGCTTCTGAATTGTTACAACTAGAAGATGCATAATAATTCAGCAGTACAGTTTACCATCTCCACCTGTTACAATCCTTTTCATTTACACACACTTTACACTATCTTACTCTGTGTCAGAAAATCAAGAGAATATTACTAATATGTAATTAATAACTTACACTAAATTCCATTGGAAGTACTTATTATTCAGAAATTCTTAAATGTTAATGTGGTAAATATTCATATTTTATCTGTTACAGATGAAGAAATTACATTCATGGTTCAGTGTAATCCATTCATTGATTCACAGATCCCAGAGACCTTCAGGCAGTGTGACAAAACCACATAATTTCCCTGAGTACTAGGCTGTGCATTTCTGTATCTGATTAAGTTAAAAAAAAAAAAAATCATTAAAAAAATATAAAAATCTTCCTGTTGCCAGACAGATCCCTATGGCTACACATCTCTGAAGTCTCTGGAGCATTTTGTTATTCTAAGCTAAGTTGGCAGTAATTTACACTCAATAAATTGGTTCCAGTTCTGCCCATTTCAGATGCTATCACAAAGACAAGATTTTATGTGCAATTCTCTTACTTTTAGTCGAAGTGTATTCCTTTTAAGAGATCTTCCATCACAAATGCAGATGATATGGAGATAAAAATATTCCCTTGCTCTCCAAAGCATGATAGAATCTGATGGATCAACAGTTCATACCTAAGTTGTTTTGCCAAAAGTGAATCAATCCAAATCAAACCATCCTTTTTCCATTTTTTTAAAAAAGAGGTTCAGTACCACGGCATATATCATTCATAATGCATTAATAGATCTTCTATTTGATACGGAAAACAAAGTCTCTGTAAAGAGATATAATAATTTATGATTTGTAATGGTCTAGGTTTTAACTGAAATAATTTTTTTTTTTAGTGGCTGGTATTATGCTGTGTCTTGGACTTAATAAATTTAAACAATATTGATAACATGCTGATGTGTTGCAACATAGGTGTCACAGGTGTCAGTTTTTTTCTGAGCAGTGCTGTCACAAAGCCAAGAACTTTCTGCTTCTTGCACTGCTCTGCCAGCAAGGAGCCAGCAGTGCACAAGAAGCGGGATGGAGACGCAGCTAGGATAGCTGACCTAAACTGGCCACAGGGATATTCCATACCATATGGCATCATGCTGAGTAATAAAACCTGGGAGGGTATTGACTGGGGCAGGGACTGGCTCAGTATTGGTCAGTGACTGGTGAGAAAGTGCATTGTGTATAACTCATTCTGTAAATTTTTGTTGTTATTATTTTCCCTTCCTTTTCTGTCCTATCAAATTATATTTTATGGTAACCCTTCCGCTTTGCCTTTTTCCAGTTCGCTCTTCCAGCCTATTGTTGATATCAAGAGTAAGTGTTTAGCTGCCTGCTGGATTAAACAGCAGACTTTTTGGCAACTAATATAGGGCCCAAAGAGCTGATCTAGCAACAAATCTGACCAGAGTGTGTTAAAAAGAATTTATTAAAGAAACTATGTTAGTTTAATAGTTGTTGGTCACAATGTTAATTTATTCATTCGCAGTGTGGTTTTATTTGCTTTCAAGGTAGGTTTTTTTATTTCATTTCTTGTTGTTTATCTTCTCCGGGGGCTGGCCTGAGTTTTGCCAGTTTGTGCATACTGTATAAATAGAATGTGTCTATTTCACACCATGATCTTAATCCAGTCTTTGTACTAAGAACAGTCATCATCTCACACTTGAGAAAACACTGCGGGAACTACTACACAGTCCACTCTTTTTCACAGTGAGCTAAAATAGGTTTTGATAATTTTGAATTTTCTTGGGATGTTCAAACTATCGTGATCTTATTGCTGTATTTGGCAAGGGATTGGACCTAGATAATCTCTAAGGTCCCCTCCAACCTAAGCCATGCTATGATTGTATGAATCTGTATCTCCTGCATGTATTTCCAGTTTTGCCTATGATTAAAAACTATTAAAAAATACCTAGCCACAGATTTGCCCTGAGGCAGCAACCGGACCATGCAGCTTGGTGCCATCCACAAACTTGCAGAGAATTTACTTGAGCCCACTGTCAATGCCATTGGTGAAGATACTAAAGAGCATCCATCCCAGTACTGACCCTCGAGGGACACCACTTGTCAGTGTGTCTCCATCTAGACATTGAGCCATTGACCACCAAACTCTGAGTATGATCTCGCAATAAATTCTTCATTTATCAAATGGTTCACTCATCAAATTCTTTTCTTTTCAACTTAGGAAGAAGGATGCTATGGGGGACCATGTCAGAGGCCTTACTGAAGACCAGATAGATGACACCAGTGACTCTTCCCCTGTCCATTGATGCAGTGACACCATCATAAAAAGCCACTAGGTCAGTCAGGTAGGATTTGCCCTTGATGAATCTGTGTTGGTTCCCCCATGTTACCTCCTTGTCTTCTGTATGCCTTGGCATAGCTTCCAGGAGGATCTGCTCTATAATCTTTCCCAGCACAGAGGTGAGGCTGACAGGTCGATAATTCCCTATGTCATCCTTTCTACCTTCTTAAAAATGAGTGTGGCTTTGCTTTTTTTCCTGTCATAGGTAGTCCACCTGACTGCCATGACTTCTCAGATACTGTTGGCTTAGTGACTACATCAGCAGCTTCCCTTTGAACTCTGGAATGCATCCCATCAGAGCCAATAGACTCATGAATGTTCAGATTCCTCAGGTTGTTGTGAACCTGATCTCTCTCAGTGGAAAAGACATTGATCCCCAAGCTTCTGACCTATCTGCTCAAGGGCTGTTTGAAGAATAGTTGCCAGTGAAGACTGAGGCAAAAAATCAGTCTTCTTTACCAGTCTGCCTGAAATGCTCACTAGTGGTGATATGCCTCCTTGGACTTTTCTTTTCTGATTGATGTACGTGTAGCCTGTAGAAGCCTTTCTTGTTTTTCTTTGCACTCTTTGCCAAGTCCAGTTCCTGACCCCATCCTTATACAACCTAGCAGCATTCCAATAATCTTCCCAGAGTACCTGTTTCTACTTCCACAGCTTGTGCACTTTCTTCTTGCTCTGAGTTTGACCAGCAGGTCCTGGTTCAGGACCTGTCTCTTGCTTTCCTGTCCAGACTTCCTACACCTATGGATGGAGAGCTCCTGCTCACTAAGTAAAGCTTCCTTAAATCTTCCAGCTCTGCTCCTCTCCCTTGTCCTTTAGGACAGTTTCCTGAGTTTTTGAGTAACTCCCACAGGAGCTGGAATTTGGCTTTCCTAAAATTTAGCATCCTGATTTTACTCCTTATTTGTCCCATATTTCTCAGGAGTGTGAATTTAACCACTGCATGACTAGCTGACTCAATCCCTGCGACAAGCCCTGAAGCTGAACCAGAGAAAGAACCAACTTGTGCCACTCTCAGTCATCCCTATATTCAAGAAGAAATAATTGGTTGTGAAAGTCCATTTAGTAAGAAAGAAACTCCTACTAAGAAGGGAGGGGAGGAAGAAGAGGACAAGGAAAGTACTCCAAAGCCAAGCCATCAAAGGAATAGAAGGAAGTGGCAGATATGATAAAAAAGGCAATAACCACTTGATACCTATCCATGAATGAGATGAAAGATATGTGAAAAAAAAAATTAGTCATTGATCAGGCAAGCATATTTTCACCTGGCTGCTTTGATGTTGAGATAATGGAGCTGATAGCCTGTGTTAGAAGGCAATAAAGCCAGGCATCTGGAATCCCTGTCTAGGAAAGGGGACACTGACAAAGCAATTGGGAAAGGGAAACAGGCCCTCAGCCTCAGAAGGCGATTACTGCCAGGCATGAGGGAAACATAAAAAATAGATCTTATAACAATGAGGCGTTGGGTATGAAGAACTAGTCCTGTGTATGGTCCCAAGTTCTTTGATACATTACAGCTTTTTACAGAATAATAACTTGTTACAAATTGATTAATTTAGTCCAGCAATTCACTGTCTTTTTCTTAAGGCAGTTGCAGAGAAAGACAGCTTGGCTGTCTGCAAATTGTAAATTCATAGGAAAAAAAAAAAAAAAAAAAAAAAAAAAAAAAAAAAAGAAGGCTCCAAAGAATAACAACAAAAATTATAAATGGATATGAAAGTGTGAAATTTAGAAAATGGAATTTTCTGAAAACTTCAAAATGTGAAATAGGTTTCCCATGATGCTATCAATTAGACTGGAAACATTTTTTAAAAAATAGAAACACTGAAACAAAAAAGGAAATAATTTATAAGGTACAGCTCGGCTTTAGAAAAAAAAGAATATTATAAATAATGTAATAGTTCTTTTTATTTCTATCTTCACTAGCCTTGTGATTATGAATGGACATCATTTTAACAAAAAGGAGAGAAAATGTGCTTTGTTATAATGACTTTTCTACATGTGATATTCTACATGTGTGCATATGTCTGAAAAAAAATTGCTGCTGTGAAGTTGCCTTTATCTTTATATATCTTATTATTTGAAGGAAGTACAGGGAAGAAAAACTCCATATTCTTAGTGAAAATGCATTATAGAAGTCCATGGACACCAGCTGCGTGGTCTCTAGAGGAACTTGGAGTTGCAGGATGAGGTCAAAAATATCTAGTAACCTCTGGTACAATCATCCTTTTTGACTTAAAATCAATGAAGTACTGGAAATAACAAAAATGTCCCTTGCCTCTCTCCCTTTCTATCAGGTGGGGGACACTGGTATTGTCTTTATTACTTCCATTAGCTTTGTGTTACTTGAGGAAATTGTTTTTCACAGTGTGAAGTGAATTTAGCCTACTAATATTTGTTTCTTTGACTTTTATTGATAACAATTTGTTTAAATTTCAGAAAAATTTGAAAATATGCAAGATATAACATTATTGATATACATCAATATTTATGGACTTTATTTCCTTAATCTAAATCAGTGTAATTGAACTTCGCACCATTTTGCTAGTTACTGCAATGGTGTATTTTTAAAAGCTTTTCCTCTTTTCTCTCACAGCAGGTTGATAAGATTCATTGCTAAAGTATAATATTTTTGCCCTCTTTTTGCACTTGAAAGGTATTAATTTACATCTGTATTTATCTTTCTGTTCATATCACAGCTTTACAGCCGGACTGCTATTTGTCAAAGTGCTTCTTTATGGTGTTCCTCAGAACTATATCAATTCTATTAGACATATTGTTCTGTAAGACTCCTTTTGTCTCAAAGAAAATTTATCCCGCTGCTTCTTTAAACATATATGCATATCCATAGCTGTCTGAAGATATTAGGTTGAGTAACAGGTGAAATATAAAAGATTCTCCATTCTGTATTTGTGTATGCATAGAATATAGGAATTATGTTTATTTACATATTTCTATTTTAGATTTCACTTCAAGATGGTTCTGAGTACTGGAAAATAACTTTGTTGTTGTTGTTGTTTTTGAAAAGGCATTTTAAACCATGTGCTTACTGCTTTTGTTGCATTATATAAAAATAAATAAATAGCATGCAAAAGCAACTTCTGAATCAAAACAATATTAAAATAGAAGTGAAGCATTTGTTCTCTGAGAGAAAATGGTAATACATTTATTGTTCTTGTTATTCTTAAATATTGAAGATTTAATACAGACTTACAGGAAAATAAAGCCAGATGTTGCAAAGTTTGAATAGTGAAAAAGAAACATCACACAAACAGGGTCAGTTGCTTAAAGTTCTAGTGCACGATGGCATCAGATCATTCTGTTGTATAATTCACTCATGAATTTTTCTGGACATTCAGTAAGAATAAGTACTATTTTCAATTTTATAAGTCAGATTAGTTGTTCCCAAACAGTAAAGTGTATAAGCTCTCTTAGGCAGTACCATATGCCTCGTACTCAGCAGTAAAGTAGTTTAATTAAATATTACTGCATTGTCATTAGAACCAGGTGATTTCAAGTTATTAGCTCTCTGCATCCTGAGAACTTCTTGGAGATAATGATGTTGAATTATTGTAGCAACAAGATAGCAAAATTTATTGTGAGGCCTTACCACTTAAAATCACTTAATGAAGAGGTTTTTTTTTTTAAGAGAAATAAATCTTCACTCACTAACCTAAACATGTACTCACAACAAGTACCAGCACAGATTTGTTCCAAGTATTTTGCCCAGCATTTAAGGATCATGGATGTATCCAGGTGGGCTGGCCACGATTTCTTATTGTGGCTGTAGAGGATGAGAGACACTGTCTTTTGAGTTGATATCGTGCTTCCTGGTTTCTTCCTATGTAAATTGTCACAATGGCTTTGCATGTCCTTTTATGTCTCTTTGAAACTGACCTCAATCAGTATTTTTTGTTGTTGTTTCTGTGTTGTTTTTGTTGTTCGCTATTTGCTGTTTTTATTGTTTTGCTTGTTTGTTTGTTTCTCCCTGTCCTTTCTTGCCTGTAAGAATCTTAGATTTATTCACTTTCATTTGTCTCTGTACCAGTGTGTCTTCAGTTCTGTCCAGGGTGTGGGCTATCCTTAGTTCTATTGATCAGATTGTTCTGACTAACTGCGTGAAACAGTGATCTCTTAGGTATATCTGGGTGCCATACACACTGTTTTTATGTCCCTCTTCTGCTGCTTCTACTGCTGTTTCCACAACCAGGGATTCCTATTGATTCTACAGTCTCATTTCTATTTCAGTTCTCTGCTACATGGGTCAACACAGTGGACTTTAGAACTTGTACTACATGTCCAAGATGAGTTTTTAAAGCTCTGTTGGCAGGCAATAGAAGTAGCCACTCTTCACAGTAAGTATGAAAGTCCCAATCATTTCTTTTTTTTTAGTGGGAACAGCAGAAGATGTAAGTGACAGTTACTGTGCAAATAAGGTGTCATGGTTTTATGATTTTGGGCTATTGGCATTCCATGTCATAATATCATGTAGTGCACTGGGAGTTAAAGAGTTAATCTGGGAGAGAAGAAGAACTATCACATTCCCCACAAGATTGTTCGCTGTGCTGTTATCATTTCAGGGGGAACAGATATAAGACCTTGGTAGGTGATCCTACGTCCCTGTTTTTGATCATCAGTTTTTCCTCGCTGCTGCTCGACCCGACTGTGCATCTCACCTCAGTGTATGGTGAGGCCTTCAGTCATCAGACACTCTTTTTCTCATTATATTTGATTTACTAGCTTCAATTCTAATTATATTGTATTATAGTGTATTATCCCATATTCTGATCCTGTATTTAGTAAATTAGTTTGTTTCTCCTCAGATCATTGCCGCTGTTTTAAATTATTCAGGATCCCCCTGTTTCCCCTTTCCAGAGGCATGGATTCGTGAATCCCTCTGCCTCGCTAGTCACAGAACCAGACCAAACCAGCCCATAAACCATTGACATCAGGAAATTTTTGTAGGCAAATATCTAGGATATCAGCTTTTTTTTTTTTTTTTTTTTTTTAAGAAACAGTATCCACAGGATCATTTGTTCCCCTGTGATTAGCAGTCCAGCATACATATTTATGGGCACAAAAGGAACCTTTTCCTCTGAACCAGAGAAGTATTTATATTTTTGCTTTTCATAGGAATCTGTAGATGTTTGAATAGGACTTCAAATTTGGTTACCTTGAATTAAAGATATTCTTATGCCTTAGTATTCAAAAGGTTTACTAAGCAGATTGGAAATATATGATGTATTTTAAAAGGAGCTGAAGATGAAAGAGTATGTTTAAATGAAGCAAATTAGTTAGATCTACCTGTAATGTGATCTCTTGCAACACATACTACTGACCAGATATTATTTATAATACTCTGCAGAAAAATTCTGCATTAGTAGCAGTCATTTAAAAATCCTCCTTCACTGAGAGATTAAAACAAAAAGCCTAGATAATGGTCTGTGCAGCAATGTGTAACAATTTCTTTACTCAGTCAAAACCAAAATGTCCTTGATGAACTTAAGATGTGAGTATGGTCAGAGCAGTTCCTTTCCTCAGTCCTGTAAAACCAGAGTTGCAGTGAAATACAGAAAAGATAAGAAAATTCAAATATAATTGTAAAAAGGCATTTTCCTATAATCACTCTGTAGTTTTGAGATATTTACATAAGCTCAAGCATCTTCAAGCTGCAGTTTGTATACCCTACTTTTTCAGAGTGTTATGTCTATGTTTTCTCTCTTTTATCATTAATATTATAATTATGTGCATAATTATAATTAGAAGTTTGATTAAAGAAAAAACATAATGCTAAAAATATATTCAAAGTTTATAAAAAAGCCTTTGAGATTTTGTAGTTTGCTTTCTTTTTTTTTTTTCTCTGAAATTATAATAGGTAAATTGAATGGTGTACACAAATTTATTTATTTAAAAAAGAACCAACTGAAATACACGTATATGCATAGGTGTACCCATGTATTCTTTTATGATACAGTTTTCCATAATTCTGCCAGCTTGTCTGTGTGTACACAGTGATGCATAATGAAGAGATGAATTAGCAAATGTTAATTGACTGAGAAACAACATATTTTTGTGCCTATTGTGGTTTAACCCGATGGACAGATGAGCAGCATGCAGTCATTTGCTCATTACCCCACCTCCCAAGTGAGATGGGGAGAGAATTGAAAGAAAAGTAGAACTCACGAGTTGAGATAAAAACTATTTACTAAGAAAAAAGAAAACTAGATAATAGTTAACTATATAAATATATAAAGAACAAATTATGCACAATCAATTGCTTGCTGCCTGCTGACTGATGGCCCCTGACCAGTAGCTGCTTGTCGGGCCAGCTTCCCTGTTCTGTGATTTTTTTTCACATGATATCATATAAAATGGAATATCCTTCTGGCCAGTTTAGGTCAGCTGCACTGGTTCTGTACCCTCCCAGCTTTTGTGCATTCCTAGACCCCTTGCTGGCAGAGCACTATGAGCAGCTAAAAAACTAAAATGTCCTTGGCATTGTGTAGCACTGCCCAGCAACAATTAAAACATCGGTGTGTTATCAACATTCTTTTTTCCTAAAGCAAAAATGTTTCATCATTCCAGACTCTATGAAGAAAATCAACCCTGCCCCTGATGAAATCAGGACAAGGATGCAGAATATTAGAACATTTCTAGCAAGAATAGCGTGTTCTGAATAGTATACTAGTACTTGTGCTGATCTTCAGAACTTTATGTCTAAGCACCACATTTTTCATGTATTTATTCATTTTTTCCATAGGCGTCTGGCTGAAACATCTGTAACTGCAAAATCTACTGGAGTTTCTTTTAAGTTATTAAATGTTACTTTGACATATGTAAAAGATAATTTGGCAGTAGAGATGTGTCAGAAAGAATTAATAGTGAAATCCTAGAAATTTGTATTTTTCAAATTAAACGTGAAATTGATTCACTGCAGTTTTAGATCAAACTCATTGTTTCTAAAGGTTAGTGCAACTCTATTAAAGATTTTGGTATTCTACCCTCAAATTTTTATAATGAAGTGAAATCCAAATTACGGATTTAAGCACTACAAGATCTGTATACTAATTTTATAGTTCTTTTAATAAAAAAAAGTTTAACAGAAAATTCACCTTTGATGATGACTAAATGCATTTAAGTCTTTGTCTAAATTTTATAGTATAAAGGCTAAGCAATATACCCTACCTATTTCAAAAAGTGATGTGAACATCTTTGTTCTTTGGTGAGATTTAAGGTGAAGACTTTTCATTATGTGCTCCCAAATGTCCTCACATCTTCTTACAATCTTATTGCAGGCAAATAATACAGTTCTTCTAACTTTTTCTCAGGATCTCCAAGTCCTTCAGAAGTACTCTTAAAAAAATATGTTATTTTCTTTAAGATGATTCATGCTAAATATTTTTTCTGGAATTTGAATTCACTATAATCAAAGCCAAATTTGTCATTGATTTCTGTGCTGAAATGTCAGTCTCTATAATATAAATGTCTATACTTATGTATATATATACATATATGTTTATACATTTATATATATATATATTTATATATACATATATATACAATACAAATGTGTGTAAAAACTTATTCATGGTAAGTATGACAGAGCACTAGAACAGGCTGCCTAGAGAGATTGTGAAGTCTCTTTTGGAGACACTCAAGACCCACCTAAACACCTTCCCTGCAGGGAAACCTGCTTTGTCAGGGGGGTTGGACTTGATCTCTAGAGTTCCCTTTTAATCCCTACAATTCTGCGATTCTGTGATTCTCTGTATTCTTTCTTTCCATTATTTTTTTTAAAAATGAATGTTTAGGTTTCTCAGCACTGTTATTCTGAACTCCAAGCCCTCCTATGAGGATGTAACTCAGATGATTGCAACACGATTGGAAGCACAATGGAATTATTATGATAAATCTGTTCATGGCAATCACCAATGGCATTAGGAAAGGAGAAAAAGACATAAGGCATCCTCAGGTTGTATACATACACAATAAAGTAAACTATGGAGAAAGTTGGAGAGAGTTTGTGTTAAATTATTAGTCAGACAGTCAGACTTGCCCTGGAGATGTTAGAAAATATGTTGAAAAAGATGTCTTGCAATTTCTCATTTACCAAATTGGTTTCTAAAATGTGCATAAATTAAAATGTTTCACAGAACTGTCTGCTCTTCATTATTCCATGAAGAGTGGAATGGAATCATAGTTTACAAGTTAAAAGTACTGTGCTTTCAGCATGAAAGCTTGCAACTATATGCAGTAAGAGAGAAGTTTCCATATTATATTTCCTTTTTGGCAATGTTCTCGTGTATAGAATATTTGTAGGCAAAATATTTACAGCCTCTCAGCCCACTGCTAACTAGATGCTTTTAACAATTATCTGTATCCCTTATGCTAAATGGATAAACCAAATAAACAAGAAGAGGCATTAAAGAATTTATGCGCATATTGCAACTCATGCTATTTTACTGAGTAAATGGCATATGTGGAATCTTAAAATTTTATCTAAAAATGATAATTAATAACACAAAACAAACAAATACAATTTATGCTGGGCAAAACTCAGAGATTTTCATTTTCAGAGAAGACAGATTTACTATGTGACATGAAAAACATTCATGCTGCAATTAACGGTAAAGTAGAATTATGCAGTATCTACTTTTCAAGCAATTTGTATTCTTATACTGGTACTTGTAAGGGCTAAATGGTACATGTCCATCAGAGTCTTTACTGAAGATGAAAAAAAGGAAGTCTTCTGACAGGTCATCTCTATATCGGCTAAGAACTGAACCAGAATTGCACATAATTAATAACAAGTGTGGAGGAAAATGAACTGGCTTCAAAACTCATGAAATTCTAAATATTTTTTGAATAGATACACCGTGCAGTCATTGAGCTGTAATGCAAGGACAAAGTATTATATAGTTTACGTACAATGTGTCTGTATATTTATGTAAGTATGCATATCCATATGTGGTAATAGTAATCTTATAAAAGCCTAATGCCATCTTATAGAAGTATAATCAATCTTAAGATGCCAGATTTTAAGACATTTTGCTTTCCATATATGTAAAATATTTACATTTGTGTGAGGAAGTTCTAATGCTTTCACTCTAAATCTGAAAAAAAATATACAATTACTACAATGGTAATTTCTGAGGAAATTCCTTATTTTGAAACAATTTGCATGCCTTATTGGTGTCAGCTGCAATCTTCATAAAAAAGCCCAACCCCCCTGTTTTTTCTCTGTTTCCATAGAATATAAAAACAAACTAATAAACCATGTGTTCTGCTTTTCTTCTCTTCCTTACTTTAATTGTCTAGCCTTTGACTCAC